GATGGCGACAGACGGACCCACAAATACGCCACTTTCTCATTTGCACCTTGCTGTCCGGGCAAACATTGTCTACGGGTCATACTTCACCATCAATCCTCCAGATATAATTGAGAGGCTCCTAAGGAGCCCCACGGCGAAGGAGGATTGAATTACGAATTCTTTAAAGGGATTCTAGAAATTGGCGCCGGCAAGCCGGCATAAAGTCCTGCATGAATTTCAAAAAACATTACCGTATCGGAGATAAATCGTCGATTTAAGGAAACGCACATCTTGCGCTTGACTTGCGCAACCTTTGCGAATATCCACGAGCTCGAGCTCCTGCTGGATTGCCGCTCTTTGATCTTCTTCGCCACGTGCTGCTGACTCAGCATTACGCGTACGCGCCGTGTGCGAAGGGCGCTTGGGCCGTCGTTCTCATCGTTGTTCTCCGCCATGGTAAGCCCTTTTTCCTGATCATAATAGACAGGTCACTCACATACAAGAAGCTAATTCGAGTTAGATCCAAAGATGGTAACTTCAGGTTTGATATACAGCCCACAGCTGATATCTCAGAATTGCTTGCCAAAGTTTGTCATTTCACCTCCATCTGCCAGTCGTAAACGTCATTCATCGCCTATTTAGATCCTTGAGACCACATCAGACGCCGATCTATCAAGCTTCACCATCTCAAACCAACCACGCGGCAATGAAGCCAAGTTCGTCGACTTGAAAGGCAGAACGCTGAAGAATCTTGGGCTCAAGTGAGTTTCGTAGCGTTATTTTGCGTTGTGTTGGCTTAGAATTCTTCAGTAATGGTGATCTTGTGTTCGTGGGATACCAATCTCAACCATCGTCTTCAGGAGGCAACGAAGTTATCTCAGACACCCAATCGAGCTCTCTACCTGACGCCACAAAACGACCATGGGAGCTCGTAACGGAAGACCCCGTCGACACGCACTGGCGTAGCCAATTAGGAATGCTGCCGCGCGGACGCGACGCGCGATTCTGCAAGCACGGTGCCAACGGCATGTGCGATTACTGCATGCCCCTCGAACCGTACGATGCTGCGTATCACAAGGAACACGCCATCAAACATCTCTCGTACCATGCGTACCTTCGGAAGATCACTCCGAAATCTTCTGTTTCTGCTGCCTCAACCCTCCCCCCGTTATCGCCTCTGTCATACAAAGTCAAAGCCCCGTGTCCGACGGGCAGTCATGCGCCGTGGCCAGCTGGAATTTGCACATCGTGCCAGCCTTCCGCAATTACACTTGCGTCACAGCCATTTAGAATGGTTGATCACCTCGAAATCGCATCGACTAATATAATTGAACGATTTCTCCAAGCGTGGCGCAACACAGGCCTTCAACGCTTCGGATGGCTTATTGGTCGTTACGAACCTTATGACAAGGTACCAATGGGTGTCAAAGCCGTGGTGGAGGCTATTCACGAGCCTCCGCAGGAGGGAGAGCTGGATGGGCTTACACTGGGGCTGCCCTGGGAGGATGAAGCCCGTATACGAGAGTTAGGAAAGTTCGCTTCAACTCCCCTAAACATCGTGGGCTACATTTTCACGGACTTGGATCCTACTCCCGAAGACCGAACTAAGAATGTATATAAGCGACATCCAGGGTCATTCTACCTTTCCTCACTGGAGGCTATCTTCGCCGCGACCATGCAGAAAAACAATCCTACGGTTTCATGTTCATCACCCACGGGTCAATTTTCTTCTCGGATAGTTACTGCTGTTCTCACAGCAACTGAGGATGGTCAGGTCGACATTTCTGCATACCAGGTTTCAGAACAGGCCGTTGCGATGGTGGAAGCGGACATGATCGAGGCTAGTGTGGATCCCGGTATAGTTCGAGTGAAAGAGGAAGATCGAACCCAGGATTCGGCGCGATATGTTCCCGATGTATTCTTCACATACAAGAACGAATATGGACTCGAGGTCAAGAAAAGTGCCAAGCCAAGTTTCCCTGTGGAATACCTCATGCTGAACGTGTGTGGCCTAGTCCTCCCTTCTTTCAAAAAGCTGACTTTGTATTAATAGGTTACCCATGGATTCCCCCAGAACCCCTTGCCCGTATTCCAATCCACCCGTTTCAAGATCGAGAACCGCCCTGGTCTGGAGGATCAACGTGTCGAACAGGTCCTGTCAACTCTCGCGGGTCTTGATGCACCCAATGTTCATGACAGTCGTACCGCCAAACCTGGTGAAATGCAAAGACGAAATGAGCTCGCGACCTACCTGAGTGATTGGCATCTTGTTACGTTCATGGGCACAACTCAACTATTTTCACCAGTACGTAATGACCTCTTGTTTGATGACCAAATATGTATCTGTTTCAGGAGGATATGAAGGTACTCGTGCGAGTTGTCTCGCGGCCAGACTTACTCGAAGACCCCTCTTCCCTCGATCCGCTTCTTGCTACTGATGGGTGGCATACCCTGATGACCTTCACACGAGAGAGTGCTCGTACGTCCCCATCACGCCCTATTTGCCTAGCTTCCTGCTGATTGGTTTTCATAGCCGCGCGTCCTTCTTCATCGGCGCCAGGACACTTGTCCTCGCACATGGATGAGGATATCCCTCAAGCGGTGTTTGACCAGATCGCTGCTGAAGAGGCAGCACGCGGCGGTGCAGGACCTAGTGGAGACTCGTCTCTCAAGATGTGCCCACATTGCACATTCGCAAACGAACACAGTCGGCTGGACTGCGATGTCTGTGGGCTACCCCTATAGACCCTTGTATTTACAAGTTTTCAGTGAATACATCTACAATCAAGGACATTCTGATTGAATTCGAACCCGAGGGTTAAAACAAAGCAGTCCCAGTCTTCTTTCCTAGTGCTTTACGGGAGTGCACTGGTAATGGAGAGCAGACATGGTGTAAGTAGACATGCGGTGAAGCAAAGTAAAAGGATAACGGGACAAAAGGCCATGTTCAACCAGCTAGGTCAACAAAACTGCCTGACCGTGTTCTATTGAAATATCACTCGCACTACGATCTTCAATAATACAAAGTAATACAAAGGCAAAAAGAGTCTCGTATCGTAAGGTCGTGTCTGTATAAGTGTGTGAAACGTAAGTGCATCGTGTTGGGGGGCCCTATGAGCGTTCTAATGTGTGATTTGTCGAAAATCATGGGCGAAAAGGAATGCAGAGAGCACAACAACGTGAACCCAGGTAAAAGGAGAAATGCTGTAGGTATGTACCGTACCAAAATAGTGAATAAATCAGTGTCTGTTGACTGACTTGGGAAAAAAAAAAGGCGTTGAAGCCATGGCAATATGAAGTGGTTGCAATCGGGTAACGGTGTTGCATGACCACCGGGAGAGCGCGAAGGGGCTGGCTGCTCAACACACAGATCTACCGGCCGAGGACCCACCAAAGTGCAAAGGCGACGCTGAACAGGATGCCGAGAGCGCGTGCGACAATCACAACGACGAGAGCCTTGCGGATAGCAGCATAGAATGTGCTGAGGGCCGAGCCAGACCAGTTAATTCTAGAGTGCAAACTCTAATCAGATATATGTGTAGCTGCCCCATAACAGATATCATACCGTCGATCGTTGGTGCTGCCCGAACGAACACTTGCTTCCCAACCACGCACTACAGAACGATAACGCTTTCCAAACACCCTACACAATCTGATGAGAATTTGACCAAGCATCCGCGGAAAAACATACCAGATCCAGAAGTTGACGTCAGGGTAGGAGAAACGAGGAAAAACACTGGCGAGGCTGGGGGCCACGACATCCATACGCAGGCCCTCGAACTCAGCTTGATAGGGAAGCTGCATTGATCCCAACAGCGGCGACGATGCGGCTGAGTCGGCATCCTCCTGTGGGTTGCTGAATCGCGACGTGGGAGGCGGGAAGATCATGTACGACATCAGATCGAGCGTCATGCCAAGAGAAAGACCCCAAAGCTTGAGACACTGAGGTGGACGGGCAGGAACACCTTTCTCAAGAGTGCTTTGGGATTTTGCATCTGGGAGGGCAGGGGAATCAAATGAGGAATTAGCAGTATCGAGGAGGATGGCCGGAAATTCCATCGTGCCAAGCAACAAGCGGACGAGTAGCCGCAGGGCAGTGTTGTGTTTCGGTGCGAGGCGGGAAGCGGCATCTACGGTGACGGTGGACCAACGAGGCGGGGTACTGGGTGATACTAAGGAAGCGAGCGGTGTCCAATGGAGCGACGTGGACTCGATGGGATCTGGCGGGGGAGCATGCGGGGCAACCTGGAGGAAGACGAAGGGGGAAAGAATCATGAGGAGCCGTTTGCCGAGGGAAGTGGTTATTTCGCGGTCGTCGAGCTGGCCGACACAGGTATACTGGCGCTCAGCGAGATCGACGCCTATTTCTTCCCAAGTTTGGCGCATGGCTGGTTGGCGTATTAGTAGGGAAGAAGGGGTCTGAGGACAATGACATACCTGTGTATAGTCCTCCTTCATCCTCAGGTTCCATCCTTCCTCCGGGAAACGCGACGTGGGATTCCTGAGTGCTGCGGAGGCGGGACTGCTGGGCCAATGAAATCTCGTCTGCAGATGCATTGTGGCGATGGAGGAAGAGGATCTCTGGTTTGGCATTGGGGTCATTGACCCACTCCTGTTCAAAGAACTCGGTCAGAGTAGGAGGGGTTGTTGGTGTGGCTGGTGCGGGGGCAGAGGGTGATGGAACGACACGGATGATGAGGGCAACAGCAGCACGACGGGGCTCTGTGCAGGTAATAAGAAACATGATCAATAGAGAGAAAAGAAGATACGGACGAGTAGGGGGGGAGGCGATAATCCGCGGTGGGGTTGAGCGAATTCTGTGGAGAGCTCTAGAGAGGAGCGGGGTTATCGACGCGAGCTTTTCTGTGGCGCACATTAGCGTAGAAGATATAATGGGTCAGAAAACTTACCTTGCGCCATTGCGGACTTGGCACAAGACCCACCCCCAAACTTTTCATTTCTGACGTCGCCTCGGGTGTTGCCGATCCTGGTCTCGTGTCATCAAAAATACAGACCCATTTAGGCACTACCAGGGTTCGAACCTGGGTTTCGGGAACTTCATGTCAAAATCCCGGGTGATAACCACTACACTATAGCGCCCTGCGCCTCATATATACGTCATTTTATTTAATCTGTCTCCACGTTTCTCCATGTCGCGTCCATCTTCACAGCACCACTCGCGCACCCGCTCAGTGGCCACCACTCCACCCCTGATCCGTTGCCGCTCAATAGGTCGTCTAAACCCAACATGAGCTCTCCCATGACACCTCCGTCGTCGGCAACCTCCACCACAATCATGCATTCAACCCGATTCGGACAATAGAAGGCATGCGTCGCCTTCCATGCAGGATTTGTCCCTACTACGTGACGCGTGGCATGTATGACGGCACCATTGTATCCCAGGCGGAGCTGCGCCGCAGTGGCAAAGTCCCCTGCGGCAGTATCACGCGGCTCTAGCCCTCGTGCTTCCCAAATACGCAGTGTGACTATTCCGGTCGCTGGCAAACAACCGTGAGCCCACAAATTACTACCGTGCAGGCAGTCACTGCAGTTGTCCAGCGAGCTTATAGCAGGGTAGTATGCCACGCTTGCAAGCAGTTCTCCGCGTTTTTTGTCGTCCTTGAACAAGGGAAGATCATGTCCACCCAGCGCCGAGTCCTCCTGCAGCCGCGCCAACCCAAATCGTGCCACCCCTAGGAGTGCATGTCGTCGGTGCTCGTGATGGTCATATAATCGTAAATTGAGGGTTCCGGCAAGGGAGTGTATCACGATAAACTTTGTTTCCATCCATGTCGGCTCAAACCTACCTACCCAGTTCAGTTCAAGTTTAACGTGCCATGTCCTACCTACTCGTGAGATAGATATCTTGTTCTTGCTAGTTCGGGTGCGCCATTAATGTCAACAGTGACAAATGGGTCCGGAGCACCTCCGCGCAGTCTGTTCCATGGTACGATATGAGCGGATTGGATAGTAAGGCAGAGTACTCCGATCGGGTTCATATATCAGGTCTGTTGGTCGGAATGTCGCCGTTTGTGAGAAATTGGTCATGTCCTCCTCTCGGGCCAAACACATCTTGTCATTTTGGTGCTGGATTTTGAACCAAACATTAAGCCCAAAAGATACCCAAAAGAAGAAAAAGTGTAATGGGTAGATAAAGATGAATGACTGGAGATAAGATCTATAACAAGTTCTAGCATGATCCCAACTCCAGATCTCTCCCATTTGACTGCAAAGGATTACGACCATGTCTACGAGCCCGCAGAGGATACTTTCTTGCTCCTAGATGCGTTAGAACAGGATGAGCAGGAGCTCAAGGATCTGTCCCCTAAAATATCCCTTGAAATTGGGTCAGTTGTGATTCGACTTTCCGACAAACTCCTTTTTACTCGTTCTATAGATCAGGCTCAGGCTGCGTGTCTGCCTTTATTGGAAAAATTTTAGGACCATCTGTACGTGCGTTGCCTACGCCCTTGCCCATATCTCGGTCTTATCCTTTGTCTCAAGTATATCTTTGTTCCGACATAAATCCACAAGCTTGCGGATGTACCCGTGCCACTGGAACTCAAAACAAGGTGGGTGCATAGAATCGTCGATGAAAGTGCATTTAGGGTTACTAAGCTGTATCTAGGTGGTCCTCGATCCCATAAACGCGAGCTTCGCCTTACCACTTTCCGCGCGCCTCAAACGCTCCGTGGACATCATCTTATTTAACCCACCCTATGTGCCCACAATACCCGACGAGATGAGTGATGCTCAAGATGCGCGTGGAATCTCAGGATCTTGGGCTGGAGGTACAGATGGAATGAACGTGACGGATGTATTTCTTGAAAGTGTCGAGGTACGCTAATTATCTGCAACTTCCGCCAGCGAGGTAATTAACATAGCCCTCTGTACAAAGGAGTTGATGTCAGAACGAGGCCGCTTCTACCTCGTCGCTGTAGCAGAGAATAACGTTCCTGATATTCAAGAGCGAATGTCAAGATTGTATGGGTTGCAAAGTGATGTGAATCCCGCTTGATATTTGTGATTCTTCGTTTTAATATGTGGCAGATTGTGCTCAACAGGAGAGCTGGACGCGAGCATTTGTTCATACTGAGGTTCGTTCGTGAGGGATCACAAAGCTAGTATCAGCAGGCTGTGGATTCAACACTTGAGAAGGTCCGTGTTGGAGTTCATGTATTTCAGGAGGTGCAAGGATTAACAGCGCAGTAGATTATTGATATGCACGTAGCGTCGTCAACTGCAGAGCAAGATCATGTCATACCCCCACTGGTCCTCCTCTCAATGAAGCCACGAATATTCGCGTGCCCCTCCATGCTGCCGAAAAAACACCGCTTGCCCGAGTTCTCCCATAACACAACATCGAGTTCCTTAGCGTAATTAAGCACCAACTCGTAATCGGCCTGAGAGGTGAATGACGTGTAGAGATAGCCTATGAAGTTCAATCAATAAAATATGAGTCAGAATCCAGATGACAACGGACCTTCTGAAGATTTCAGGCGATTTCGCTCAAGTTCCCATAAGCGAATCTGGTCTTGAACTGTTACTGGCAGGAGGGGGTTCTGCTCAGGAAATCGTAAGCTGTCGACATTTGAGGGCCAAAGGTTACTCACATTTTTACGCATTTGTGGGTGGGCATGGGTTATTAGGTAGCTGATGATCTGCCCAAAATAGAATACAGTGAGAGGCCGCAACGTGAAGAAGAGTGAAACGTACTTGGTCAGCCGATATTCCATTATTGAGGGCCTTCTTGACGCTGTCGCGCGTAATCGAGCCTACCACAAGGTTTGGAAAGCGGTATTTGAGAGAGACAAAGAGATTGAGGACGGCAGTTTGTAGAGGATTGTCTAAGGGTGGGTAAGCGAGAGCTACACCAGGGCTTTCCGAGAGACTGCACCAGTGTAGGCGTATATTCGATAGTTCGTTTCTAGGACAATGAATCCGTCTTGAGGCCCTGTCCCCGTCCCTGTCGTTGTCGGAAGCGGCGGAGATGACGACGTCAGCGTCGTCGACAAACGTGTAGGGCTGAAACGTTTAGACGAAGGCTAGATGACGCGTCTCAGAACGAAGCACACTTCTAATCCGAAGAAATTACCCTTCGCTGCCATATCAACCCGTAGTCACGCAGGTCCTCCAACATTGCATTTTGACTGACACCCAATTTTTCAGTCGAGTATTCCTGGTTACACACGAATGAGAGAACAACGATAGACATTTTCAGAGAGAACTGACCCTCCCGAGCTGCATGGTAGATAGCATGAATAGGAAACTGAGAACTTCGACTAGATCCATTTGTCGTTGCTGCTAGATAGTCAGAAAGCGATGGACTAGTGCCGACTGGGTGCAAGCAAACCTCGGCCATGTCCAAGTATTGAAGCAGGAGAGCCCAAAGTTGGTCGTGCGGAGAGTGTAAGAGGAATTGGAACCCTATCGATGTGATTTGTAGGGGTGATCCGCTGAAAAGGCGTTGAAAGAGGGCCAGGAGCTGGACTGATGGACTGACCGATGGCTAACCATCAATCCACTGCGTTGGAGCAAATATAATACACCCGTGGAGGGCTTGGGAGGATTCTGCCCTGTTCCAGACGATACCATGTAATGGAGAATAGTCTGGCGCGCACATTAGTTGAAAGCCATTTCATCCAAAATTGTCAGTTAGAACTGACCTCCCATCTCTCTAAAGCATACCCGTCCAGACCCTCTACGCCCAGCGCAGTGCGCTTGTCGTCCGCCTCTGCCGGTACTCCAAAGCTCCCACTCGTCCCGCTGCATCCTGTTTGAGTAACACTCACAGATAGCCATTGTACCTTACCTTCCCGTAATTGCCTGCCGGAAACTTGTCTTGAACGTCGGGTTCAGCGCGAGTTTCACTACCGAGTTTGGCACTATGTGTAGTCGTTGGAGTGTGCTGAGCGCATCGTCGTAGAACCTGGACAGGCGGGATCATGAAGCAGTCCGGCGCGAATACCAATAAACCACACATCTAACGCAACTGTTTGCCTTCGCGCACGACCCACGCTGCCATCGTCGAAGCAGGTATGGCGGACTCAAGCCAAAGCAAACTCATTACGAGTTGTCGCTCCAGGGGCGCCAGGAGGCGAAATATGGAGAGGCATGAAGAAGGAAGTTGATATAGGCGGGTGAGCGTATTTTGTGACTGCAGTTGTAAAAAAGGAATTAGAGGATGTGGGAGGGATGTTTTGGGATTTGTATCAGCAGTGCTTGTGTCCCCAGGCCGGACAGTCATCGTGGTCCAAATCAAAGTCAATTACATTGTTGCAAATTTCAAGTTTCTTCAACTTTCAATGGAACTCAACATAATTAATATATCCTAACCAAAAAAAGATGTATTTACTGATTACAGCGATAGGTCAAAGTGTTGCAATAGAACAGTCTCCGGTAACCACTGCTCGCCAGCATCTCAATCATAAGCAAGTATCTGCGTGTTTAAAAAACTTAAGGCCCTTCATTCCGAGCCATCAGTCGCAGGTCGACGAGACCTTGCCATACTGAATCGGGAGGGAGAATGGGTTATCGAAGGAGCCCTGTGCCCTCGCTCGCCCGACGAAATCGATGCAGCGCTTCCACTCGCGTTAATGCTTGCATCGAACTCCAAACGCAGTCGCAATAATCCACCCTGGCGAAGCTCGAGAGACACATCTGCTGCGTTGACTCCGCGAGGTTGTATGTGGCGCCAGATCTGCGGAATGTGTCAGTGACATTATTCGCGATGTATAAAGCATGCCACCCACGTCAACTTCGCCTTCACCGAGATCCTTATCTTTGCCTATGGTCTTATGGTCATGTATCCAAGCAAAGAGCTTCGGCGTATTGGGTCCAGCAGTGAATACAAAAGACTCATTCCTGAAAATTGGAATTTTAGAAACATACTTAGCCTATATATGTTCACTCGTGCTCACCATTCAGGAGTGGCCGTTTTCCCCACGTGCTTCGTCTTGAACTCCTTGTCACCTACGCGTATCGTAGCATATGGCTTGGTCTCGCCGCTGGACAAGTCCTTGGCATCCAAAACAGTCACTTTAAGAGATCCAGGTTCTGGCGGTCCACTGCTGTCGGCGCCTTCGCCAGTGGGGAATGCA